GATCTTAAATTACGGTTTTATATGAAGTCAGACAGTGATAAAAGAATGACGCTTCCCTAACAAAATATACTATTATAACTATAGTTATAGCTAATGAGGGTCATAATTTTGACACCATATAATCTATGATTATACTTAGTGAAAATTTTGATACTTTGATTTACTATAGTGACGACTTTAGAAATATGACTTTCTAGAGTGAACACTATGATGCTATAATGATAACTTTGAAAAGTTTGATTAAGTAAAGGTATTACTCAAATTTACTTGTATAAGATATTAACTCTTTACATCTAATTTCAAGTACTAAATGGCATTTGCATAACTTGAATTACTAATGTGCCACACAAAAAACACACTGTCAGTGGATCTTTCGTTTACTATTTCAACATTTATAATGTAAAAAAAAAAAGAGTCGTTATCAGCGACAAACAGAATTATCTTGTCATTTGCAGTTTGTCAGATTTCAGGCGTCCTATACTTGCAATATTTTTTTTTAATTGCTTTAAAAAAAATCTTCAAAACTGGAATATACCTACGATATAAATTTAATCAGACTTCTATAAAAGAAAAAGACTCATGTTATTAATTTTGTCATTTGGAATTATTCAACTTATCACTTCAAAAACTTTAATTTACTGTAATAATTAATTTGACAATTGATTCATTATAGTAATGACTTTGACACTTTCATTTTCTACAGTGATAGCTTCGACACTTAAACTTGCTAATTTGATAACTTTGACAATTTGATTAACTATTGTGATGACTTTGACTCTTTCATTTTCTATAATGATGGCTTGGACTCTTTAATTCACTATTGTGATGACTTGGACTCTTTAATTCACTATTGTGATGACTTGGACTTTTTAATTTACTATTGTGATGACTTGGACTCTTTATTTTACTATTGTGATGACTTGGAGTCTTTAATTCACTATTGTGATGACTTGGACTCTTTAATTCACTATTGTGATAACCTGGACTCTTTAATTTACTACTGTGATGACTTGGACTCTTTAATTCACTATTGTGATGACTTGGACTTTTTAATTCACTATTGTGATGACTTGGACTCTTTAATTTATTATTGTGATGACTTGGACTCTTTATAATTAATTCACTATTGTGATTATTTGGACTCTTTAATTTATTATTGTGATGACTTGGACTCTTTATAATTAATTCACTATTGTGATTATTTGGACTCTTTAATTTATTATTGTGATGACTTGGACTCTTTAATACACTACTGTGATGACGGACTCTTTAATTCACTATTGGTATGACTTGGACTCTTTAATTCACTAATGTGATGACTTGGACTCTTTATAATTAATTCACTAATGTGATGACTTGGACTCTTTAATTCACTATTGTGATGACTTGGACTCTTTAATTCACTAATGTGATGACCAGCACTCTTTAATTCTCTATTGTGATGACTTGGACTTTTTAATTCACTATTGTGATGACTTGGGCTCTTTAATTCACTATTGTGATGACTTGGACTCTTTAATTCATTATTGTGATGACTTGGACTCTTTATAATTAATTCAATATTGTGATGACTTGGACTCTTTACTTTACTATTGTGATGACTTGGACTCTTTAATTCACTGTGATGACTTGGACTCTTTAATTTACTATTGTGATGACTTAGACTTTTTAATTCACTATTGTGATGACTTGGACTCTTTATGATTAATTCACTACTGTGATGACTTGGACTCTTTAATTCACTATTGTTATGACTTGGACTCTTTAATTCACTATTGTGATGACTTGGACTTTTTAATCCACTATTGTGTTGACTTGGAATCTTTAATTCACTATTGTGATGACTTGGATTCTTAAATTCACTATTGTGCTGACTTGCACTCTTTAATTCACTATTGTGATGACTTGGACTCTTTAATTTACTATTGTGATGTCTTGGACTCTTTAATTCACTATTGTGATGACTTGGACTCTTTAATTTACTATTGTGATGTCTTGGACTCTTTAATTCACTATTGTGATGACTTGGACTTTTTAATTAACTATTGTGATGACTTGGAGTCTTTAATTCACTATTGTGATGACTTGGACTCTTTAATTCACTATTGTGATGACCAGCACTCTTTAATTCACTATTGTGATGACTTGGACTTTTTAATTCACTATTGTGATGACTTATGCTCTTTACTTTACTATTGTGATGACTTGGACTCTTTAATTCACTATTGTGATGACTTGGGCTCTTTAATTCACTATTGTGATGACTTGGACTCTTTAATTTACTACTGTGATGACTTGGACTCTTTAATTCACTATTGTGATGACTTGGACTTTTTAAATCACTATTGTGATGACTTGGACTCTTTAATTCACTATTGGTATGACTTGGACTCTTTAATTCACTATTGGTATGACTTGGACTCTTTAATTCACTTTTGGTATGACTTGGACTCTTTAATTCACTATTGTGATGACTTGGACCTTTTAATTCACTATTGTGATGACTTGGACTTTTTAATTCACTATTGGTATGATTTGGACTCTTTAATTCACTATTGTGATGACTTGGACTTTTTAATTTCATTATTGTGATGACTTGGACTCTTTAATTCACTATTGGTATGACTTGGACTTTTTAATTCACTATTGTGATGACTTGGACTTTTTAATTCATTATTGTGATGACTTGGACTCTTTAATTCACTATTGTGATGACTTGGACTTTTTAATTCACTATTGGTATGACTTGGACTCTTTAATTCATTATTGTGATGACTTGGACTCTTTAATTCACTATAGTGATTACTTTTACTATGGTGAAGACTTTAACACTTAATCACTTTAGTGAAGATTTTGACACTTTAATTTGCACTAGTGATAACTTTGACAATTTGATTAGCTATGGTTAGCCTCTGAGATTTTTATTTTGCTTTAGTGATAATTTTGACAATTTGAATCACTATAGTGATAAACTTTGACACTTAATTTGCTGTAGTGATAACTTTGACAATTTGATTTACTATAGTGATGAGTTTAACACTTTAATTTAATATAGTGATAACTTTGATAATTTGATTTACTATAGTAATGAGTTTAAACTTTGATTTAATATAGTGATAACTTTGACAATTTGATTTACTATATTATTGACTATGATATTGTAGTGATGACTTTGAAACTTTAATTTTTCTAAAATGATACATTAGAACCATCGATTTTACTATAATTTACTTTACTGTAGTATTTCTTTTAAATTAACAGATCGCAAATTTAGATACACGTGATGTATTGTCCTTTAAGTTTGCATCTTTTAAACAAGAGATGGGAAATTAAACATGTAAGATATATATAGACACCGATGAAAAGGGACTTAATCCTTGAATAATAAGGGTGAGGATAACAGTCAGTAAACATCCAAATATGAAACAGGTGTAGCATACTCTGGTGTTTTTATATTTCAAGTTCACTGGGATATAGTGAGTTGACGTATGGATGGAAGTATCTATTGGTAACTGATAAATCGTCGTCGACATATCTGAATGTCGCGTTAAAGGCCACAACAAGTGATCTCTTCTCATATAGAAGGTTTTGAATAAGGTCTGCTTCATGGAAATATAAAAACAGGTCGGCTAATAAAGGAGTACAATTAGTGTACATCAGATTTCAATATGGTCTTCTGAGAAATAAAACATAAATGTTGTCAATGATGAACTCCAGCATCCTTTTAATATCAACTTATAAGTACATGTATTTTTGTGTAGACTCAGAGTGATTTTCAACAAAGTTATTTTGTTGCTGACCAGTCACAACATACGTAAATTTCCTCGTTCCATTTTTATTGAAGAAGCATTTGTCTATGACATCAAAGAGTCTAGTTTTTAATTTATCGTCAGAAATGGCTTTAAAAGGTGTAGAAAATTCGTATGTTTTGATGTTATTAACTTTAGAAAAAATTATTCTTCAGAGTTTTCAGAATAAATTTTCTAATTTACACCACTTCTAGAATATGCTGAAGCACAGTACGTCTAACGTTTCTCCTTTTAAAGCCCTTAATATTCTTGTAAAGAATAAAGATACGGGCTTGGTTGAGCATTTACAGGACCCGGAAATTTATCTTTGTAAGGTTTTTTATGAAGTTTAGAAATTCCGTATAAGTAGGGTAGAAAGAATTCACCTTGGTTTACTGGAAAGTTAAAAGTATTATACACTGAAGCGTGATTTTAAAGAACTTTATCCTTAGAAAGTTACTGTGAGTATGTTAGATTGAGCTATAAAGGCCTTTAGAATTTTTCATCTCATTACTCGGAAACGAGAATGGTTTTTGTAAAGTGTTTGGTGGAAAAATTAGTTCTTAAGGGGTTTTTTTTATTTCAAAAAATTGTTATATTGTTCGTATATTGCGTAAAATGAAAGAAAAACGGTACTTCTTTGTGCATATAACTGAAATAAAGTAACAAAAACTAATGTTCTTATGTAAATGGGATGCAACTTGTCTTAATTCAAAAGTATTCCGTGCTACCTTTGAAACTTGCATTTTGATTACTTTTTTGTTTAGATTAACAATGAACAAGACATGAAAATTCCTCAAAATAGAGAGAAGGAAAAATATTATCCCCAACAAAATAATCTGAATCAATAAAAACTTATTCTATTGCTAAAAATGCACCTTTGAATATGTAGCCACACTGTAATTACTATATCTTAGAACTTTTAAAATTAATGTTGTAAAACATTAAGAATTGTATTACCCCTAATTGGTTGTAGATGTTCGTTCTAAAATGACCCTATGTCCTTTATACATTGGCGTGCAAACGAGCTGTAGGCGGAGCTGAGAATCCGCTATTATAAAAACAATTTACACTCGTTAACGGTAATCACAGACGTATAAAATTCTGTGTACTGTGTGAACAAGAACATATAGGAATATTAGCTTAACATTGATAATATCAAGTCTTTATTCATTGTTGCAATCAGTTCACATTGAAGTGCTTAATAAAAGTATGAATGAAACAAATTCTTCTGGTTCGTTAAACGTTGTAGGCCATGAAAGACTTCCGGACACTGCTCATTATGTTTTTGGAGTTTCGTTTGTCATCTTTAATGTGACAGCTACCAGTGGTAATATTATGGTCCTCTCCGTGTTCTTCAGGAGTGACAAGCTACGATCTGCGAACTGTTTCCTGGTGGCTTCTGTCTGCTTTGGTGACTTGTTGATGAGTTCTGTGGGTTTAACAATGCTTATCATTTCTAGTTTTGCCACACACTGGATCTTAGGAGAAACTGCCTGCACAGCATACGGAACTTTGATGACCTTTCTAGGTCTTTCACAAATCACATTACTTGCTGCTATTGCTTACACACGATACCTCTTAGTTGTCCATAACAACTGCATCAAGCCCTTAATCGCAAAAATCATCGCCATGTCTTCGTATGTCTATGCCTTGGGATTCTCTCTTGCTCCTGTGTTTGGGTGGAGTTCATTTGTAGTGGAACCTATCGGAACTTCGTGTGGCCCAAATTGGGTTGGGATTGACTTGAAAGATGTCAGTTATAACATGACTCTGCTGATCCTTTGCTTTTTGATGCCACTGTCAATAATATTGTTTTCATATTCTAAAGTGTACATAAAGGTAAGACTTTTTCAGAAGATAAATATTTATTATTACTAGTATTGCAACTTCAACTATAATCAATATATATATTGATAGAGCAATAAATGTAAGATACTCAATATTTTATAAAGTATACATGTAATGAAGTTCTGATACCTTTGCTTAACTTTGACATTTTCATTTATTGTGGTAAGGTAAGTGCCTTTAGGAACGGTGAGATAACGCTAAATACAATTATAAAAAATCACTTTGGGTATTTAAAACAAGAGGCCCAAGGGCCTTAACGGTCACCTGAGTATAATACAACAATTTAGAAGTTAAATACACTGATAGATGAAGCTTTGTTGCCCTAAAGCAAGAGAAGTAGGAAATCAGAATCAACAAAATAATTAGTCTAGTATTCAGTATCAACTCACAACTTAACACTATCACCATGCAGACTATTAACAAACTATTAGTGCTTCTGTACTATTTTTAAACCCATATTAAGACCTCTAGCATTGACCTCTCTTATGGTCTTTGAAGAACGTTTAATAAGATAAGTTATTTTTGTCTCCCCATTTATTTATCTATTAGTTACAGGTCTGCCTGATTATTAAAACGAAGAAAGTACTTTTCGAATTATACTATAAACATTCTTGCATAATTATCTTATTCTATTAACCTTTCAAATACATTATTTACAGTGATTAATTTTCAAAGGTGAATGGAAAAGGGGAATAACTTCTCTCAGTAGAATACAAATTAATAGAGCCCTGTCCAGGACCAGAATGCTTAGACAAATGGTCCAGATGTTCAAAAATCTGGTAGAAATACGCTTACTTATATCATTTAAACTTTTACTCAGTTTGCTTCTGATATGCCCAGAAGCAGAGAGGAAATTCACAGGTAACTGGTATTTTCACTACAGATTCAACAAATCCTTACCCTAACACCAGAACCCTAGACCAAAGGTCAAGAAATTTACAAATTTGGAAGAGTTACCCTCATCATCATAACTATGGACTTCAAAGAATTAACACTTTTCCACTATATTATCAAAAGCCCCTCCCCCCCCCCTCCTCGATCGTTATGCCAGAACCCCTGACCCTAGGACCACAAGATTTAAAAATTCTGTTCGAAGCTCCCATTTTCATCATAGCTAAGCAATTTATTTATCAGCTCAACACTAAGGAGCAGACAGGATTAATTAATGATTAATTAATAGAATTAATGCATTTTCACTATATAATCAATAGAGCCCCCCCCCCCTCCCCCCCCCTCCTCAAGAACCCCAAAAACTGAGGCCATATATTTAAAAATTTTGGAAGAGACATCCTTGCCTATTATAATCATGCACTTAGTTTGTTTAAATAGTCTCCAGTAGCAGAGAAGAAGATTTTCATAGAATCAATGCATTTTCACTATATAATCAATAGAGCCCCGCCCTAACACCAGAACCCCTGACCCTGGGGCCATGAATTCACAATTTTTAAAAACGCATCCATATGCATCATATCCATGCACTTAGTTTGTTTAAATAATCTCCAGTAGCAGAGAAGAAGGTTTTCAAAGAATAAATGCATTTTCACTATATAATCAATAGAGCCCCACTCTAACACCAGAACCCCTGACCCTGGGGCCATGAAATTCACAATTTTTGAAAAGGCATCCTTATGCATCATAACCATGCAATTAGTTTGTTTAAATAATACCCAGGAGCAGAGAAGAAGATTTTCAAAGAATTACTGCATTTTCACTCTATAATCTATAGAGACCCGCCCTAACACCAGAACCCCTGACCCTGGGGCCATGGCTTTTACAATTCTGGAAGGGGCCCACCTCCTCATCATAACTATGTACTTAGTTTATCACCTTAATACCCAGGAGCAGAGGAGAAGATTTTCAAAGAATTAATGCTTTTACACTATATAGTCAATAGAGCCCCGCCCTAACACCAGAACCCCTGACCCTGGGGCCATGAAATTCACAATATTGAAAGAGGCTCTCTTGCTCATCATAACTATGTACTTAGTTACTTAATTTAATACCCAGGAGCAGAGAAGATTTTCAAAGAATTAATGCATTTTCACTAGATAGTCGATAGAGCCCCGCCCTAACACCAGAACCCCTGACCCTGGTGCCATGAAATTCACAATTCTTGAAAAGGCACTTTTGCTCATCATAACTATGTACTTAGTTACTTTATTTAATACCCAGGAGCAGAGAAGAAGATTTTCAAAGAATTAATGCTTTTACACTATATGATCTATATAGCCCCACCCTGAGGCCAGAACCCCTGACCCTGGGGCCATAAATTTCACAATTTTGGAAGAGGCACTCTTGCTCATCATAAATATGTATTTAGTTACTTTATTTAATACCCAGGAGCAGAGAAGAAGATTTTCAAAGAATTAATGCAATTTCACTATAATATAATCAATAGAGCCCCGCCCTAACACCAGAACCCCTGATCCTGGGGCCATGAATTTACAATTTTGGAAGAGGCACTCCTGCTCATTATAACTATGTACTTAGTTACCTTATTTAATACCCAGGAGCAGAGGAGAAGATTTTCAAAGAATTAATGCATTTTCACTATATAATCAATAGAGCCCCGCCCTAACACCAGAACCCCTGACCCTGGGGCCATGAACTTCACAATTTTGAAAGAGGCACTCTTGCTCTTCATAACTATGTACTTAGTTACCTTATTTAATACCCAGGAGCAGAGAAGAAGATTTTCAAAGAAATAATGCACTTTCACTATATGATCTATATAGCCCCACCCTGGGGCCAGAACCCCTGACCCTGAGGCCATGAATTTCACAATTTTGGTAGAGGGCTCAATGCTTATTATAATGATGCCAACAGTTTGACTGCTTGATGTCCAGGAGTAAAGAAGAAGATTTTTAAAGATTGCATTATTTTTGGAGGTTTTAGCCCCACCCCTCAGGCCCCAGGGTGGCAGGGACCATGAAATTCAAAATTTTTGTTCCCCTTTACCCATAGATGCTATATGCCAAATTTGGTTGAAATTGGTTAAGCGGTTTCAGAGAAGAAGCTAAAAATGTTCAAATGTTAACGCACGACGCACGCCGACGGACGAGAACGGATAGCAATAGGTCACCTGAGTGACTCAGGTGACCTAAAAAACCGAAAAGGACATGGTGTGGTAAGGATCAAGTCTGTAAGAAACTTCAACAATATTGTGAAACAACATATTCGAGAAGTGATTGTAATCTTCTGTTGAAACCTAAAATCCCATAAATTAAAAACAAGGGTTTTTTACTTGACATTAAAGACAACTTCTTCCACATTGAGAAGGAAACTAGCAAATGTTCCAGTTTTGTCACTGGTCATCTAAAACTTCTGATTATACACACAGGTCCTGTAAAATTGATATTTAAAAGATGTTTGAGATCCTCATCAACAATATCTAGGCAGTGTTTGGAGACCATTGTTTGGAATTGCCATGAGGACTAATTATGCCTCAAAATCATAAGACCTGATATTTTTTTTTAATTCTTATGAAGGGGAATTTTTTCCAAAATTTCTACATGAAAAAAAGAGTTTTTTTTTGCTATGATTTTAAATTCGACAGTTGGATGTATGTATGTATATATTGATTTCTTCAATTAATAATTTATGATTCACTTTTAAGCTCACCTGAGTCAAAGGCTCAAGTCTGCATTTCTGATCAAAGAGTGTCCGGCGTCTGTCTGTCGTTTGTCGTCCGTCTTCTGTCGTCTGTAAACTTTTCACATTTTCGACTTTTTCTCAAGAACCACTGGGTTAATTTCAACCAAACTTGCCACAAAGCATCCTTGGATGAAGGGAAGTTAAGTTTGTTTACAGGAAGTGTCATGCCCTCTTTAAAGAGGAGATAATTAAAAATTCGTGAAAATTTGATGGTTTCTTTTCAAAACCTTCTTCTCAAGAACTTGTTGGCAAGAGAAGATGAAAGTTTTGTGAAAGTTTCATTACATACTCTAGATTCACGTTTGTTCATTTCATAACCCCCGGGGGTATAGGACAGGGTCAAAGTTTTACTTAGGAATATATAGGAAATTTATTTAAAAATCTTCTCGATAAAAATCAAAACCATGATTAGTCATATTATAATAGAAGTATCCTCAGGTAGTGTAGATTCAAGTTTGTTCTAATCATGATCCCTAGGGGTAGAGCAGGAACACAATGGTGGGGTCAATGTTTACCATAGGAATATATAGGAAATATCTTTAAAAATCTTCTCAAGAACAACTAATGCATTATTAGTCATATTATGTCATATTATTGTTAAGGGGCATTTGAGTAAAACGCATTGAAGACTTCAAATAGTGGAATGACCTGACAACCCTTGGAATAAACTAGTCAAAGGGTATATATAAAACAAAGCTTTGGGAAATCAGGCATTCAGAAGCTAGCTGAAGAAGTTGGACGTTGAATAAGCAATACAGAACATATTTTATGGTATTCCATCGCTGATAGCAAACAATTCAATGAAATTAAATGCAAAACAGATGTGTTGGTGTTGAAAAGTATATTAAGACATAATTCCCATTTATTATTATTAGCACGAAGGGTGGAATGTGTCCTAATTTATAACCTTGAATTTTGGTAATAGTTTTCTCCCATTGTTTTTTTTTTTTTTATTATTATTATTAATAAAAAAATCTATTTAAAAAAATCATCAGCTGGTAAAAAAATCGTTTCCAATTGTCATTTTATTTCTAATGTGTTTTAGTGCATCTTTCCACTACAGTATGTATTGATATTCTAATGGTCATTAAATTATATCTAATATCTAATATTCTAATTATTTGAATTTTTACTTTTAACAAATTGCTTGTCCCCATAGACTTCAATGCCATCTTTGTTAATTACGTACTGCTTAGTTATTTACATGTACACGTTTGAAACGTTCTCCTGGTAAATCCTTTTCCACTGTTAAATGCTTTAAATTAATATCAGAGTATTATGTATGTGATAGACATTTAAGGATAGAGGATGGTAAGCCTTAATGGTAAGAGCAGATAAAAGTACAAACGTTAAAAACACCAGTGGCAAGTATTCTAGGGAATCGATTGATGTTAAGTTCTGGGTATAGTAAATCTGAAGAAGATTGAGACACCTGCTTCTTATCTTTCAATGGGAACCTTGGGGAGAAACATGGTGCAAGTAATACCTTACACAGTCCCCGTCTCTAGATAAGAGAACATTTAAGCACTGTGTGATATACCCTCAGACAGAGATGTCTTAATAATCATTCAAATCATTAACTCGGACAAAGGAAAAGTCGGAGTAAAAGGAAAACCTGTATATCACTTGTAAGAAACTTATCATACACGTTACGTTGGAAATATCTTTGAAATCTTCTCAGAACAACTAAGCCATTATCAGTCATATTTCTACAGAAGAAACCTTAGATAGTGTGAAATCAAGTTTGTTTAAATGATGATCCCCCAGGGGTTGGGGGCACAACAGAGGGTCAAAGCTTTGCATAAGACTATATAGGAACCATTTTGAAAAAATAATCTGCTCAAGAACAGCAAAGCCGTGATTAGCCATATTATTATAGAAGCATCCTCAAGTAGTGTAGATTCAAATTTGTTCAATTTAAGGATTGGTAGGGTGGGGGCCATAGTGATCAAAATTTTACATCGGAATACATAGGGAAAAAAATCTTTAAAATTTTTCTGTTTAAGAAAAGCAAAGCATGATTAGTAATATTGATATAGAGGCATCCTGAGGTAGTGTAAATTTAAGCCCCCCCCCCTTTCAATACTGCACTTATTTCTGCTTCTATCTAGCCAAATTTGCTCAGGTGAGCGATGTGGCCATAGACCTCTTCTAAATTAATTGCATCTTTATCACATTTTTAACATAAACAAATGAACTTTTTTAGATTGCCGACAAGAAATAAAGGAAAGGTTAAATGGTCATAAACCAAAACCGTAAAGTTATAATCTAGAACCCAACAAGTCTTATTCCAACAGTGTCAACATTACTCAGTACTATTTTTCTCTCATTAATATGCCTTAAATATTTTCGATTTATGTTTTACGCAACAAGCAGAATAGAAGACAAACTACCCGTCCGTTTGGTGTATGAATACAAGAAGTACTTACTGCTAAAAAAAATGAATCGAAGATATGACTTATTTCGAATAATTCTTTAACGAATAAAAGATAATGTAACTTTGTACTTAACATTTTTTGACCGTCAAGGTAGCTCAGTCGGTAGAGACATCGGTAGGTCGTGAGATCGAATCTCGTAGCTACTGTTCCTTCGCCATGCGCTCGGCACTCTGAAGTGAAAGTTGCGGGTCATTCGGATGAGACCTTAAAAACCGAGGCCCCGTGTCACGGCAGGCGTTGGCCCGATAAAGATCCCTCACTGCTCAATGGCCCTGAGTGCCGAGTAAGGGTCTAAATTTTAAGCCCTTCGCCGGTATATGGTGATGTCTTTATATGAGTGAAAAATTCTCGAATGAGACGTAAAACAACATATAATCAATCAATCAGTTACATTTTTTTTGAACAACTATAAAGAATATCTTTTATATTGAGCAGACAACCTTAAACGTAGCAGCTGCTGTTTTGTCTCTTCTGTTAATTGCAGCTTACCCGAAAAGTAGGGTAGAGAATTTATAAATTTAAGTTTACTTAAAATTTTTTATTGTAATCAATAAGTGTCCTCCTTGAATGTTCAAGTCTGAAATGTTGTATAGTGATGTAATATAATGGTCATTTTGTTTCATGTCTTAGGAGAGGCAGAGATTGATCGATTAAAATCAAACAATTAAAATTCCGGCCACGCGGTGCGTCACTCTGCCTCTTCTCCCACCCAAAGCCTTGGAGGACGGGCGTTTTTTCAAGTTTGTTATCTCATTTTTAAAGAATTGCTGCAAGCTGCGATATACATTCAAAAGGCGCTAACGCGAGTTACCCATTTGTTTACACACACCTTCGCAGTTATGAGATGTATCCTTCAAAAAATATACTTCAATGCTTATTAAACATTCAATTAAAAATTAATGAAATCCTTTTTTTTCTATTTCCCTCGAATTATGATGAGTATTTTTTTTCTTTTTAATTATAATTTTCTTTTATTTATTTATTTATTTATTTTTTTTTTTTTTTTATTTTTTTTTTTTGTAGTCGTTTAAAAAATAAGTAAATTTAGATAAAGTAGATGAAAGTAAGAGAAGCGCATTAATCTTTGTAAAATCAAATATTTTATTACATTTTACGCGATCCCTTCAAACATTGCCTTTACATCTTACACCTGAATGAAAAAAAAAACATTCAACTACGGTACTCGGAGAAAAAATATATAGATAACCTTACGTAAAGTAGTCAATAAATATACATAATCTTTGATAACAAACATTGTTTTCATGTAGAATAAGTTGTTGGACAAACATTGATCAATTTCATAAGGCATCATTTTTTTATATACTGAAAGGAAAAAGAAATGCAGGGTAAAGTTTTGAAGTAAATTACCGCTATTTTTTCGAAAGTATTTTCCACTATTGTTATCTAACATTTAAACTCATCTTTCATCAAAATGTTATTAAAATCTCATTTGATATTAACTGCTAATTTATGAATTATTGAAATTTATATGACGGTACCCCCGAAAAAGTGAAAATAAAAATTCTAATTATCTCACATGCACCTCTCTAGCAGCCTATATTCTCCTGTGCAAGGAGTAAATAAGTGCATTTATCTGTCGGGCAGCTCCTTAGTTGGACGAGAGTTGCTGGGGCATTCTGGCGCCTTCAAACCAGTAAGTCCCTAAGATTTTCGATTGGAGAAAGAGATAGAATTTTTTTTTTTAATTTGCATTATCCATTGTATACATACATACATCCATATAAATGTCTACAAAAACAGTATACAATGGATTTTTTTTTTTTGCACACACACACACACATTCATACAGTCACTCACACTTATCGGATTAAGCTGGAAATATGTTGAAGAAATATAAAGGCTGCTTTAAGAGGACAGAAACCATTATATCTGTACTTCACATGTTAGAAAAAAAAATCAGAACAATTATTGAAAAAACAAATATAAAACATTCCCTAATATTCCATAGATTGGTTAAAAAGAAAAACATTTCAACTGGGTTCAAACATTTTCTCCCATAAGTCCCATTTCTTTCAAACAATGATAATTTAGAGTTATAGATTGATACACTTCTCTCAATGTTATATTTCATTTTCAAATGATTTATAAGGCCAAAAAAGTTTGGTTTTTTACATTGTGATGAGCAAGAAAAAATATACTGCTTAGTGTATAACATGATAAAGTTTATAATCATGTTATCTTTAGTGAGTGGTATTTCACCCAAAATAATATTTTTAATATTAAAACCAATTCTTTTAGAAGTTGTTCTACAGATATGCATACTCAAATTTCTCCATAAATCAACTATGTCATTACAAGTTACAAATACAAGTTTAATAGTTTCAATACCCTCCTTACAAAAGTTGCATGAATCACATGTTTTAATGTTAACTTTTTTAAGATAATATCCAACAGGAAGAATTCTATGAAGAAGTCGGTATTGAAACCACTGTACAGAAGAATCATTTGTAGTCTTGAAACATACTCGAAAAACATCTTGTGTGCATATATCATTCACCCCATGGGGAGTCAACTCTACATTCCACTTTGAAATTGCTGTAGGCTGCATACAATTTTTGTTTATGTCATTATAAATAATTTTTGTACATCTATTATTTAACAAAATATTTTCATAATAAAATGGTAAATAAGGCAAGCAACTTTTCTTCATTGATGTTCTCTCAATTGCCAGATTTTTAAAGCATTTTGCAATAGCACTAAATCTACAGAAAAATTAATACCCAGCAATGAGAAAGTTGTTGACCCCCAATCTAACTTCCATCTTGGATGGTGAAAAACATGATTTGAAAATTTTTTCGAGCCAATCCAAATAATTTTTGTTTTATTACTATTTTTATTTTTAACCCAGACAACCGTGAAAAAAAATCCAACGTATCAAGAACAGCAAAAAGTGATTTTGGTGAACCATCGAGAGCAAGCGAAGTGTCATCAGCATATTGGGAAATTTTGTGTTCTTTCTCCTGAATAATAATGCCCTTTATGTCTTTATTTTGTTTCACAAGAATAGCAAGGATTTCAGCAGAGGAGAAATAAATAAGGAGCAACGGGATCTCCCTGTCTACAGCCTCTCTGAATATGGATTTGTTCAGATAAATGTCCACATTGTAGAACAGATGCTTTAAAATTTGTATTTAAAGAGATAGAATATAAGGAAGTAAGTTGATTTGGTAAATGTGAATGTTTGCGAGAAAGTCTTGACAAATTCTGGTTATATTTTTAATTAACACCGATTTTCGTGCACAATAAAGATAAACCTCTGATCAGTTTTCATAATTTTCAGCCATGCAATCAAAAATATTTCGCATTTTATGTTACCCTGCGTTTCTTTTTATGTCCAATATATATATTCATTCCCTTTCAATACAATCCTTCAGATATCTATACTAAATGCAATAAATACTAGTACATAATTTCATGTCAACAGGGCAATGTGCTGTTTGCATTTTATACTTTAAGGTTCATTTATCATCTGAAAAGAGAGAGAATTTTGATGAGATGAATGATTTTTATTCTTGAAAGAAGAAAATAAATTGTCGAGTTAAAAGGCCATCTCTTTCAATGTAGAATAAAGATAACGAACGGTAATCAAGCTCATAAGTCTATTGAAACAATACAGACTGAGAGCAGAGCAAACACTGACCTCTCAAACATCAGGGGTAGGATCAGGTGCCACTGAGGATTAAGCATGCCCTGTCAACTGGTCAGCCCCCTATATGCTGCTGATCATGATAGGGCAAACGGAAAAATGTACAAGCTACATAGATAATGTCATTCAGAAACTTAAGCTTCTTTTTAATATCAACCTCGGACTATGGTGCTTATGTTTTAACAAAATAGCTTTGCAAATGACTATAACAAGGTAAGTGAATTCATCCATTAACATCCATACCTGTAGATGAGTTATTACTCGTAGAATAAAGGGGCAAATGGTACGTTTATGTATTACTGCACTTGAATGATCATGCTGTGGATCTCTCCCACTTCATATCATCGATAACACAATGATTTAGATGTTATTTATCTCTGCAAGGAGATAGTATAGGTCAACAAACAATGGATCGAAAGCTCAATAATTCCAGACATTTATATATATTTCACTACTTTCAATTTAAAAGGTTTTACTAGTATTTAATGTTTGAGTTAAATTTGTCAAACCAAACCTATTAGGGGTATCTACAATTGGGAATGCAAAATCCCCCTCATTATGATCCTTTTATGAAATTCCCTTTTGTATTTTGGTTTGAGAAAATTATCTGGGTGCGCGAGGATTTGATTTTGTGGTTCATTGAAAATCATTATACTGCAAATTTAACATTTCGTAGAAAACTTAAATTCGTTGGTCTTGGCATACAACAAAAACAACAAAACAGCTGAAGATTGCTTAATTTTACCCACAAAATAGTGTTACATGTAAACGTTCCTAATCTACATTTCTTGCATAGGAGAGGTGAAAACAGTTTCTTTACCTTAAATGTACTTTTTGTTTATTCATTTTTCAAATTACTGTAAAATTACTTATTTTGGAGATTAATATTGAAATTTTTTTTCGACAAATACGAGGGGTTTTCCGGTAAAATCGTGGACAAAGCGTTTTTATCGAAAAATGATAGACGCGCTAAGCTGCATTTTTTAGTATATGATGATTTATCATATATAAGTGTATCTTAATTTTTCTGATAAAATATCGACAAAAATAAGGATTTTATTATGCTTGAATATGCACGGTATACGATCTTACGGCGCACGATCAAAAACCAGGCTTTCATTCGAAAATACACGAGCTTTATTTCGAAATAAAAGTATTAAATAGATACGGTTGTGGTAAAATTTATACTTATTCTAATCCACAATCTATTATGTCGTTTTTATGCCCCTGGATCGAAAGATCCCGTGGGTATATTGTTTTTGTCCTGTCTGTCTTTTTGTCTGTTTATTTGTTTGTCTGTTTGTCTGTCTGTTTGTCTGTTGTCAACTTTAACCTTGCCCATAACTTTTGATTGGTTGGAGCTATGACTTTCATATTTCACATGTGTATTTCTTGTGATAAGACCTTTCTTTGAGTACCATCATATTTGACCTTTTGACCTTGACCTTGGAGTTTGACCCACTTTTGCAAAATATTATGAGATTTTAACCTTGCCCATAACTTCTGAACAATTGGTGCTTGGGATTTCAAACTTCATAAGTGTATTCTTTGTGACAAGGCCTTCCTTTGGATACCAACAACTTTGACCTTTTGACCTTGACCTTGGACTTTGACCTACTTTTGGAAAACTTTAACCTTGGCCATAACTTTTGAACAGTTGGTGCTTAGGGTTTCAAACTTCACACGTGTATTCCTTGTGACAAGACCTTCCTCTGGATATCAACCACTTTGACCCTTTGACCTTGACCTAGGAGTTTGACCTACTTTTGAAAAACTTTAACCTTGGCTATAACTTTTGAATGGTTGATGCTAGGGCTTTCATACTTCACATAGGTAATCCTTGTGACAAGATCTTCCTTTGGATACCAACCACATTGACCTTAACCTTGACGTTTGACTTTTATTTAAAAAACTTTAACCTTCGCCATAACTTTTTGAACAGTTGTATCTAGGTCTTTCAAATTTCACAGGTGTATTCCTAGAGACAAGATCTTTCTTTGGGTATCAACATTTTTTATCTTTTGGCCTGGATTTTGACTTGCATTTGAGAAACTTTAACCTTCGCCATAAGCTGCCATACGGGGGCATCAGTGTTTCACAAACACATCTTGGGTTGTTTTTTTTTTGGGGGGGGGGGGGGTTTGGAAAATTGCAAGACGCTTGCTTATTTTTGTCAGTTTCCAAATCATTTGAAATGAGAAAATGGTGGACACAACACACGAAAAATTGCAACATTTGATGAAATTACGGCGCACCAGAAAGCAGTTCAGTTTGATTTAGATAAAATAATGACTTCCTAAGAGAAATAAGAAAAATATGACTAGATCTTTAGTATACAAATGAAATGGGAGTTTTTTGGACAAGTCCTTGAGTAGAACAACTAGAAATATATAGCGAAAGACGCTGTCACGGTAGACCTTCGATATAAGATATTGTTTACTACATGTAATAAATCTTCAGAAGGTGCTATGTGTGTGCAAAATTGGGTTTTTTTTTTTTTTGGAGAAATAAAGGGAAACTCAAGTATATGCATCAATGAAATTCTCGAAATCTAAGTGGAGCTTATCCATTTTTTTTAGGAAAGAAGAAACATGACGCTGCTTTAGACACTTTGACGTTATGATCCGTGCGCCGTAAGGCGATACTAAACATAAAATCTTTGAGCATATATCAATTTGAAATCTGATATATATATTGATGAAAATTGTACTAAAGAGTAGTGAAAATTTTAGAACGCAGTGATGATTATTTTTCAATCTAGGCAACTTGTCCACGATTTTACCGGACAACCCTCGTTCATATTCGTATTTCGATTGATTTAACATTAGAAGAAGTGTAGATTTATTTGAAAGTTTAAGCTTGTAGAGGTCATGAATTCGCGGGTTTTTCCATACCATAAAAACTAATTAGCACAACTGTGGACTACTGCAGCCTCCCTAGACATTCTAAGTGAACTAATACATGTACTAGTATTTTTCAATAAGCAAAGCTTAGACAGTGCGTAATTCAGTGATAAATGGATTCCGCCAATTCAAGTGAATATATATAATTCAATAAAGATACGTGATCTGATGCAAGTTTCAAGAGTGTTTATGGGTAAAAGAAGGTTCCTACACAGTACTGTTATTAAAACCATATTATCAATGAAATATACAAATCTCCGAACTCTGAAATTTCATTCACATATATTTATATTGCAGAATTTATGCGGTTGTAATTATAAACAATCTGCATTTTATTGGCTGGTTCATGTGGGGGTTTTTTACTGCTCTTACTAACTTCATTTTAATTTTCTCCTATACGAGGGGCATTTGAAAAGGTCTGAAAACTGTTTGATAAAATATTAACCGTTTCACGGAAGTAAATATATTTGATACCATCGAAAAGATTTGGAAAATTTGCGCTTATTTCGATGTCACTTTCTTATTCTTATGACGTAATAACGCCGAAAATGACGTCAGAATCTCGAATATTAAACATACTGAAATGTCGAGTTTTTATCCACATGAGAACATCGAAAAAGTGCTGCCCAAGGCTTCTTTGAAAAGATATTTCAATTTGTATGGAAGTAGAGTAAGACTGAAAGAATGGTACTGCAAATCAGAAATTCCATATCTCATTTTATCGTTGGTTTATAAGCACGGTGTATGTCCGATTATGATATCATAGGCATTCATTAAAGATTTTTATTTACATGATACAACTGGACTTTCGGTCTATTATGTAGCTATCCATTGTATTAAACAAAACGTATGTTCTGTATAAAATAGAAGTGTATCAATGCAATTTTCCAAAAATGTATCTT